GCACGCACGCAAGCACGCACGCAAGCACGCACGCAAGCACGCACGCAAGCACGCACGCACGCACGCACGCACGCACCGAGGGGCTGCTCCGCGCCAGTGCGGCCAGTAGCCCCAAGCAAAGGAGAGGGCCGGGGTGGTGCAGCCGGAAGTCCAAGCGGCTCAGGATGCGGCGCTCGGCTCGCAGAAGCTCAGCGGGTGAAAAGGAGCCGGCGCCCAGGAGGCAGAGGGAGGCGGGCTGCGGATGCGGAAAAGAGACTCTGGGCGGTGGACCCCGGCTCTTTACTCCCTGCCCAGGAATGCCTGGGTTCGGGCCAGTGCCCACTCTAGCCCTGTTTCCTGGCCGGCAGAAGGGGCCATTGGCCTATTGCCTGGAAGTCGTGCAGAGCAGACTCGAGTCAGAAAGACCTAGAGGCGTGCTCAAGTCCTACCATTTGCCTTTCTGCGGGACATGGACATGTTCTGAAGCTCTCAGAACTCGTTTCCTCTTCCGTAAAACTGAGCCATGTAGCCATGACCGCCCACTCTGGATAAGCACGGAATGGATGCATATGAAAACGCTCCGGCTGCGCTGTATTGGCTATAAATAAGTATGCGCGGCTGAGCCCCAGCCCCAAGCACCGGGCTTTGGGCAAATGTCGTCCTCTCAGGGCCTCTGTCGCCTCCTGTTGGAGAGACACATGGGCATCCCTATCTCACAGATACGCTGGGATTCCCAGCGGTACAGAAAAGGCACGGCGGGCAGGGGCCCTGGCACCAGTGGGCGTTTACCCCGCCAGCCGGCGGGCCAACGGGAAGGCGCCCCGCCCTCGCAAGCTCCACCCCGGAAGTACCTCGGGAAAGCCGCACTCTTCCATTTTGCTGGCCACGAACAGGCAGGCCACGCCCAGCAGTTGCAGGCGGTGTGGGCGCACGCGGTATGCGCGCAGGTAGGAATCAAGCAGGTGCACCGCTAGGTAGAGCGTGTCCCCCGCCAGGTCCAGGTACTCCTGGGAAAGGGCACGGGTGACCACCAGAGTCTTAAGCCAAGACGCGGGCCCGCCCTGGCTCCCCCCTCCCCGTCCCCCCGGTACATACGTGCACCTGGACCAGCCAGTCCACCACTAGAGCACGCATCTCCGGGGTCACGGCACGGGGTAGGGCCCTCCCGGGCAGCGCGCGGCACACCTGGGTTGGGCAGGGTTGGCCTCACTCTCCACACCTGGGCCTCAGTTTCTCCGCTGAACTCCAAAGGAGAGCGGCGGAACCCTGCTCGGCTTGGACGCGCAGGAATGTGACACCCGGCTGGCCTCCAGTGTCTCCTCCAGACTTGCTCCCCTTCCGCCACCCCATTGGGAACTCTGGACTTGATTCTGGACTCCTCTGGCCACCACTCCAATGTGTAGCCCCCTGACCATGGGCATCCCGTCTCTCCCTCCCCAGCTTCCCAGGCCCCGCTCTTGGCCACGGACTCGCAACCCACCCCCCTCAGCATCCAGAAGGGTCTTTCTGAAGTGAATGTCTGACCAAGGAACACTCCAGCTTAAATCCCCCCGAGGCCTTCGGAGACCATCCTGACCCCTCTCAGACGTCAAGCTCATGCTCCAACCATCACCTCTTTTCCTCTCCCCTCAAAACCCAGCATCCTTAGACCCTGCGGCGATCACCCGCACTCTGCGGCCTTTGCATGCACTTCCTATTCCTGCTCCACACAAGCCCTTCCCCGGCATTGCCGCGGCTTCAGCCATTCCAGTTGCCATTAAAGTTTCCCTGACTTCCAGTACTCTGTGCCCCATCACTGTCTCTGTACCCCATTACTATTACTTTTCTTATTGTACCTGTTTGCCCCCTGGGGCCCTGACGGGTCCCGAGGTGCTGTAAGTCTCCCTTCAGAGCCTGTCCCTTCAGCATGTCTCCCGACAGAGCCTGCCGAGCAGAGTCTCTGCAGCCCTTTGGAAAGATTCACCCGTTTGCTAGCTGGACCCCCTTCCCCAGGACACACTGTGGTGCCTAGAACAGTTTGTTGACAAAGCACCAAATAGCTGGGGGGACTGATAGAAACTGCTCTGAGATACCCTAAGGCCGCCACAGCCTGGGGGTCTGGGCAGTGACATTCCTGGCGGTGGAAACTGTCGGGGGGGAAAAAAGAAAAAGTCAAGCAGTCCGGCCGCAGGCTGGAAGGTTAGCCCTAAGAGATGGGCACGGAGGCGGGCTCCTCTAATCCAAGCCTCTGCGGCCGTCGTCAGCGCCCGGCCTAGGCCTCAGGCCTGGGCTCCACTCACCATGACTTCGGCGAAGATGTCCCCCGCATACTCCCGCTCTCCCTCCAGCCCCAGTGCACTCAGCGCCTCCTCCAGCCCAGGCGGTGCGTGGGGCCCCGAGGCGCTCTCCCTGAGTCCTGGGGAGACGCTCGGCCCCATGGGGACTGGAGCAGTCGAAGGCTCGGGGTCGAGAGAAGCAGCTGGGCTCTGCAAGCGAGTGGCTAGGGGGTCAGTGCCTAGAGAAGCCTGAGCCCGAGGGGGATTCTGACCCCTGCAACTCACCGGCATCCTCCAGGCTGGTGCGAGGCGAAACCCAACGCCCGCCTCTTCGCGCTGGAACTGTACCAGCTGGGGCCGGCGCTTTAATTGCGTCTGGGCGCAGGCGCACCACGGAGCACGCTCACCTGGGCAGGTGCCTGGGTTGCGGTAGATGCTCCCCAGGCTGGCTCTGCACCCTCCGGACTTTCTAAGTTCACACAGCCGCAGTCAAACCCTCATCCTGCCACTTCCCGTATGGTCAAAGGCAGCCTCTGTAAACCTCACTTCCCTCCGCTGCAAAGGGGGGTTGTTTTCAAAACTTAGCAGACTGTCCTGAGGATGTCTTGTAAGACTGTGTTCGGGGCCTCCCCGCTGCCCTCCGGGGGCCCCTATCCCCTCCTCTGTCCTCCACATGCAGCCAGAGGGGCTAGTGCAGTGCAGCACCGGTCAGATCACTGCCTCTGCCCAGACGCCCTTGGTGGCTCCCACCTCTCTGAGTTGAAAGTCAAGACCCACTTCCCTCATTCTCCCCACACACCTCTGCACCCTGTCCACTCATTCCCATTCCACACAGGCTCCTCCTAACCCAGATGAAGGCCTCAGGGCCTTCGCACTGGCTGTTCCCTCTGCCTGAAATGCTCTTCCCCCATAGTCCCCATTGGTTCAAGGTGTTTACAGAAGTTTCCTTCTTCATGCAAACTACCATCCTGAGGAAATCCTGTCCCCAGTCTCTGCGTTTCTTCTCTCCTGTTACCTTCTAGCTGTATAGTACCCTTTTCATCATCTCCCTCTGATTGAAATGTGAGGGCAGAATTTTTTATAATTATTTTCCCCTTTCATTGCCGTATCCCCAGGAGTTGCCACATCACAGGTAACTCGACAAATACTTATGGACTGGGAAGTGAGCACACCAGGGCCTCTCTGGGGTCACCTTGCAGCTGACACATGGAGGAACAGCCAGGAACGCAGAGGAAGGGGAGACTACTCCCGGTGGAGGACACCACGTCAGTGGAGGACCTGACGTATGAGAGGCTGGTCTGAGACACGGAGAGCCCAGTGAAGCCAGGAAAGTGACAGCGTGTGACGCAGGCTTCCTGTTAGATGCAGTGAAACACAAACACCTTTATTGCCCACAGGCCCCTTGCTGTCTTTTAAACCTCATTTCCTTCTGCTCTTCTCACACTCTCTCTACTAAAGACCCCTGGCCTCTGTTCCCCAACAAGCAGGCCGTCCCGGGGCCTCTGCACTTGCCACTCCTTGGGCCGCAGTTCTATTCCCGGAGAACCACGGCTCTGCTGGCTCTTGGTCTGCACACGTGACCTCCCCCACCCCGCCAGAAGCAGCCACCCAGTCTTCACCCAGCCCTCCTTTCAGTTCTGATCTCCTGTATCTGGAGAATGAGTTACGCATCTCCTCCAGGAGGCAGCTGTGTTGGCCCGCTTGGGCCTGTGCCTCCAGCATCTACAGCAGCGCCAAGCTCATCACATGCTCGGCAATGAGCAGAGTTTCTTGTGCCCCCACACAGGTCAGGGCCCCCCAGGGCGGGCTCCCTAAGCCCTGAACCCCAAGGGCCGGGGAAGAGTGAGCACCAGCAAGTGCTTCGCAAGTGATTGTCTGAAAGGCCCCGCCCTGCTCTGGTTTAAGTTGCTCTGAAGGCAAATGGGAGGGCTGGGCCTGAACCCACCTCTTCACCACCTCTTCCCTGACTCAATTTCCTTATGTGGAAAAGGGGGTGGGGGAGGAAGTGCCCCTTGTCCTGGGGGCCTGCACCCATCCCCAGGATTTGGGGCAAAACTTGGTGTGGTAAAGGCTTTCACACTGCCAGAGACCTGGCTGATGGGCCTCAGTAGGACTGTGGGGTGTTAGTGTGGGGGTCACAGAAACGTCTTTATAGTACTCTGTCCGTCTCAGTGACAAAGAGAGCTGTCGCAGAACAAGTGTCCCATTGCAAGATGCGAAACAAAGCCCCTGTATTTCCAAGCTTTGACATGACCACATGGGAGGGGACAGGGCCAGGGAGGAGCCAGTCACTCAGGGTCACAGTATGTGACTGTATGTATACCTCTACCAAGACACAGGGCGCCATGAACACAGCCCCACCGGTGTGGCACGGCGGCCCGAGTTAGCAACTCTGCAGCTGCCCCAGGACTGGGCAGACGGGCTGGCCGGTGGGAGGCGGCGGAATGGTCAGAGGACAGACAGGTACAGAGAGGGGGTGGTGATGGGATCGGAGATGATCGGTGTGAACACCTAGTGGGGCACGTAGACTGAGGCGCAAGCACCTCCTAGTGCAGTCTGAGGGGGGTCTGCAAGTAGGGACCTCGCCAATCCTCACCAGAATAAACCAGCCACTTGGGGAAATGGCTGCTTAACCCAGAAGCTCCTTCTGTGACTGAAAGGCAGGCACTTCCCCAAGGACAGGGCAGACGGAGCAGCCGCAACTGCCACAACGTCAGTCAGTGACGGGTCCCAGGCCCCAGAGCGCCCTCGGCCATAGCTGGCCAGGAGAGGCAAGTAGGCTCTCCCCGTGCACGGGAAGACCTGGAGACGCCATGAGGAGCAGCTGGGGCTGGTGGTCACTGCCAGATGGCAAAAGGAGAACGCTGACGAGGACCCAGAGATTTACATGCCAACTAACGCCAGAAGTCACTTCCCAGCCCCTGGGAGGGGAGCGAGCCCCAGACCGCCATGGCAACTCTGCGGGCACGTCACCTCCCTCAACAGCTCCAGCCAGGGAGCGCCAGGCTTGGCCTCAGTGGCTGGGCGGAGCCATGCATAAAAGGGGGATCAGCCTTTTTTAGGGTGCCAGGCCATTTGCACAGGAAAGTAACGTGAGTGCCCACAGCCTGGTACCTGGGGGACCCTTTCCTCCATGCCTTCGCCTTGTGGAGGGACCCCCCACGCCCCACACTCACCTCATGACACCAAGTGCACAGGACAAAAACCAGATTCATCTCAAATTTTTTTCTAATTGGCAAAATTTTATTCAGACTCTTCTACCTTTTCCCTCCCGGGGACAAGCTCCCCCACAGACATGAGCGCCAGCCCCTCCTGCTCTGTGTGCCCTGCCCAGGCCGTGCCCTGCGCCAGCCGCCAGGCCAGCACGGGAAGCTGGCCCAGGACACCGAGGGGCAGGGCAGGAGGAGAGGAAGCTCCTCTCCAGGTCGCTCAGGCCCAGGCCATCATCAGACAATGTGCCGATAACGCGCAGTTATCAGGGAGAACAACCTGCTGACTCTCGGCTGTCGCCAGCGGCAAAGTCTATAAAGAGGCTGCCTTCCCACTGCCCTCACTGCTGGCCCCCGAATGATGCCCGTGAAGCCGACTCCTGGCGGAACCTGACACCAAGTCCACCAGTGTGAGGCTGGGCCCTGCTGACTGGACCCTGCTGGGGTCCCTGGGGCGGAGCTGCTGCGACAAGACACTGAGGTGCTCCTGCTGCAGCACCACTTGGCCCCATGGACCCGAGTTCCGCCCATGGGAAGGGGGCGGGCGGGCAGGCAGTGAGTGCCCTGTGGGCTCAGAGCGGGGTGACAGACACACCTGTCACACTGCGGCTGGGGCTCAGTAACACCCTGCACACCCCCGTGATCAGGGCCACTGCCCTCCACCCCACCTCCCCGCCGAAGAGCTACTGGAGCCTGGGGACCTACCTCGCACCCCCACCCCAGGCCTGGAGCACCTTGCAGCTCCTCAGCAGCTTCCACCCTGTGACCTCCCCACCAGCCTGAGCCACCCCCACAGGCTCCCCACCTCCAGCAGGCGGGGCCTGTGAACTGAGCAAGAGGAGCAGGAGGGCTCACTCCCTCAGCAAGGAAATGCCCAGGGTGGGGGCCCAGTCTGAAACGAGTGTCTTTATTGCTTGTACCGTACAAATCCAAGGACTGGGGGAAGGCCGGGGAGGAGGGAGAACTCTCAGATAAACATATACACACAAAGGAAAAGACATCCCCCACCCAAACCAACCCCCATCCCACCCCAGGATGTCTTTCTGTGAACTACCTATTACAGGAGGTGGGGTGGGGAGATCAAAACCACAAAAACTAAATCCAAACACCCGGAGATGTTGGGGGGGGGGAGGCAGGGCAGCAAGTAGGACCTCGGGTGCAGCCCCCTCCTAGGACAGCATCCCCTCCGGGGGTGAGATGCTCAGGCCGGGACAGGCCCAAGCCCACACACGCGCGCACACTTGAGGCTGGGACGTACCTGTCCTCGCACACACACCCAACACGCACGCCACGCGCACCACGTGTCTTACGTCCCAGACGCACGGGAGCCCCAGGACACGTGGTCTGAGACACACACATGCGTGCCGAGCACTGACACATTCACCTTAAGGCTGCAGAACGTGGCCCAGAGAGGGGCTGCGGGGTGGTCTGAAGCCTCCTCCTCAGAGGCCTCCCACCCCAAGACGTACCAGACACCCCACCCCTCCTCCACCCTGCTCTACGGGGCCCAATACTGTCTCGGTATGAGACGTGTAACAGCGAGGACGTGTAACAGCGAGGCTGGCGCCCCTCCCCACCTAGACAGCGAGAGGGCGAGCGACCCTGGCCTCGGTCCTCAGGGACCAGGGGCCAGGCCTGGGGCCCAGCGGGAGGCAAGGCCGGCCGGAAGGAAGCCTTGGTAAGGCACGGGGCTGGGGGTGGGGAAACTAGCCCCCAAATGTTCCTCCTGCCTCCTCACAGGGTCAGGAGAGCAGCTTGGGGGCCGGGCCGGGCAGGCGCCCATCACCTGGGCTCCTCCCGGCTCCTCACAGGACAGAGTGGTCTCTGTCCGCACGAGGGAGCCCTAAGCCGCCATCTGCAGCTTCTGAAGGCCCGGGCCAGCCCCTGGACATTATTGCTTTTCCGCCCCTGTGGAAGAGGGGCTGGCCGCCCCAAGCCAGGCCGCCCCAAGCCAGGCCGCCCAGCCGACAGGGGATGGGAGGCAGCACCAGGGCACTGCCAGCTGGGCGTGCACCCCCAAGAAGGCGGCCCCCAAGAAGGCCGGCCAGGCCTGCAGGACGGCCCGCGCGGCACCACGCCCGGCCCTCACCAGGGCTCTGATGATCAGAAGCTGGACCTCTCCACCCGCCCAAAGGCCGGGTCCTGAGGCGGGCGGCGGAGTCTCCCTTCTCCTGGCCTGGGCACAGAGGGAAGGGCAGAACAGGACCCAGGGGGACCGCTGAGGGGAGGCGGGGTGAGGGCTCAAGAAAAAACGAAGTGGGGGTGAGAGATGGGGACACAAACAAAAAAGGCAAAATAAAAACTTAAAAAAAGAGAGAAAAGGAAGCCCGGGCGGTGCTGGCAGCCTGCGCGTCTCTGCCGGCCGCCGCTCACTCGCGGATGCTGGCCGAGTAGGAGAACTGTGGGAAGTGGGTCCGCTGGTCCAGTTCAAGTGAGCCCAGGCTGTCGTCTGTGGGGTGGGGTGGACACGGACTGAAGTGAACCCACATGTGGAGGACTGGCACCCCACCTAGGCTGGGGGCTGGGGAAAACCACCTGGGGCCAGCCACCGAGGGGCAGGCCCGGCTGAGCGACTGTCTCCCGGCTGAGGTACCTCGGCTCCACTGCAGCCCCAGTTCTGGAGCCAAGGCTGCATCCCACTCCCACCTGCCCAGTCAGCCCCTTGAGCTCCCACCCTCTCCCCTGCGCTGCGCTCCCCCACCTCATGCAGACGGCAGGCCAGCCCAACCCCTGCCCTGGTCACTACTGCTGCCGCCAGCAGCCCCCCTCCCAGTCAGGCAGGTGAAGACGCAGGATCTCCTACGGCCCCAAAGCCTCGCTGCGCCCTCCGCGCAAACCCCTCCAAAGTTTCTTGTGCAACAACACCCCTCCCAATGGACCCCAAGACCCTCCCGGTCCAGCCCCATGCCTGCCACATGGCGACCACTCCACCCAGACAGGTGCTGCCCATGGGCACCGCCGCCCTGCCGGGGCTCCCGCACAGCCCAGTGGCATGGCAGCAGGAACTGGGAGCCGCAGGCTCAGTGAGCCATTGGGCCCCAGCACAGGCACTGCCATCTCGGCGCCGCCACCTCCCGCCTGGCCACTCCCCACAACTCTGGAGCAGGCTGGCCGGGCTCCTGGGGCCCCTCACCGGGCGCGAAGGCAGACCACTGCAAGCCCTGTGAGCAGACCGCAGCGTGGGGCACCCCGCACTTTCTCCCGGGGTCTGGGTCAAGAGCAGACCCCACCCCTGCCTCCCAGCAGGCCCGCAGAGATGGGGCTGACACTCACAGCGGTCCGGGGGGGTGATTGTGATGGACTGGGCGGTGAACTCGTCATCAAAGTACCTTGTGTCGACCTCAGATGTGACCTGAGGTTTGAAGGGTGGCAGGAGCTACAGAGGAGAGGAGCCCAAGCTCAAGGACCTGATGACAGGAGGCCTGGCCCTCAGCACCCCGAGGGCAGGGCTCCTGTGGGGTGGTGGGCTCACCTTCTTCTGAACCACATCCTGCCAGTTGATGCTGAGGAAGAACCTGTGCTCCATGACCTCCTTGGCATCGCTGGGCCCCCCGCCGAGCCTGGGCAGAGACGGCCGTGAGCACCCGCCTCCCGAGGCGGCCAGGTTCCGGGAGGCAGGCTTGCGTTTGGGCACAGGCCCTGAACACCCTCACGAGTCTGCGCTGGCCACGGGCTCCCGCTTCACAGGATGAAGCAGGCTCAGGGAGGGCTCTGGGCCCAGGGTCACAGGCAGGAGATCGCAGCCTGGGCCTGGCACCCAGAGGGAGCGGAGCGCGCAGGCCCAGCAGATGGCGCGTCACACCCGGCCCTGCCCCTCAGCATCCCCACGAAGCAACGAGTGCAGGCAGAATGTTTAAGGACAGGCCTCCCCATGGGAGTGCTCCCCAGTGCAGCGCAGGGGTCAGCAGCGCACCCCAAGAGCGGCTCCGTGGAGGCGGCCCCTCTGGGCCCAGGGGAGAGGCAGCAGGTGGCACTGGGCTGGGCGGGGCCGCCACCAGCCCTCACCTCTGCTTGGGGTCCTTCTTCAGCAGCCCCGCCAGCAGGGACTTGGCCTCGGGGCTGAGCGTGCGCGGGAAGCGGATCTCCTCCATGAGGATGAGCTCGAAGAGGCGCTCGTGGTCCTGGTTGTAGAAGGGCAGGCGGCCGCACAGCATCTCGTACATGACCACGCCCAGCCCCCACCAGTCCACGGCCCGGCCGTAGTCGTTGTCCTCCAGCACCTGGGCAGGGAGGGGCAGTGAGGGCCAGCCCAAACCCTGGCAGTGCGGGGTCTGTGGGGTGCTCAGGGCCACCAGAACCCTGTCCTCAGGGGATTAAGGGAATCGCCAGGTCTGGGGGCCCCTCCCTTGGCCACACACGCCCCGGGACCTCCAGCCCCAGACACCTCGGGTGCCAGGTACTCGGGGGTCCCACAGAAGGTTTTCATAGTGGCCCCGTCACTGATGCCCTCTTTGCATAGGCCAAAGTCAGTGATCTTGATGTGGCCGTCTTTGTCCAGCATGAGATTTTCCAGCTGTAGGAAAAGTCAATGTATCAGGTCCGTGTCATCCCTTATGCCACTTTCTGAACCCCCAAGCGCCCCAGAGCTTCCCAGGAGAGGGCTGAAGCCTGCAGTGCCCGTCAAGGGGTCCGGGCTGAGACATGGGGTCTGAGTCCTCGCTCCCGGGAGCAGAGAGCAGCTCCTGGGAGGCCTGCCCTCCCCCAGCCCCGCTGCTCCCTGGGAAGCCCGAAGAGCACCCTGCTCCACATGTGTCCCCCACTCATGTGTGCGCCAGTCTCCAAACTCTGAATGTGAGGGGCACCCTCATTTTCCTCAGTCATGGAACAGACACTGGGAAGAACAAAACACAAGCCACCAATGGACAGCTTAGTGGGCCTTGACACCCCGCCCAGTGGGCCAAGAAAGCATGACCAGCCCCGGTTAGTAAGCAGCCCCGAGAGAGGCCCTTCACTTCCTTCCCCGCGTGCTGCGGCTGCCTGCACTGCACAGCCAAGACGGGCCCGTGGCTGCGCCTGGGGCGCCCGCGGGCTCAGCTGCTCCGGCCTCCCCCGGCTTGCCCGCAGCACACACGGCGGCGTCCAGTCTGCGGGCGGCGCGAGCAGCGCTGCCGGACACCGTGCAGGCATGTTCTCGGGCTGCCCGTCCCGGTGGCCCTGCCCAGCCACCTCCCCAAGCGCCCGCCCCTCGGCGCACGGCACAGCGCGGCCGCGCCTGGCAAGTGCTCACCTTGATGTCGCGATACACCACGTCTCTGGAGTGCAGGTACTCCAGGGCCGACACGATCTCTGCGCCGTAGAAGCGGGCCCGCTCCTCCGTGAAGACGCGCTCCCGGGACAGGTGGAAGAACAGCTGCCGGGGGAGGGAGGTCGGACCGGCCGCGGGAAGAACGCAGGGGCCCAGCCCAGGGACACAGTGACCCCCCTCTGTGAACCAGCAGGTGAGCGCAGCAAGGACCAGGAGAGGGGAAGCGCGCAGAGCCCAGTCCAGGGCACGCTGGGGGGAGGCCGCCGGCGGCCGGCACAGCCGGGAGCGACACCTGCACGAGGTCGGAGTGTGGGAGACCGCGAGGGGAGACAGGTGGGCGTGAGCAGCTCGCTGAGCGCTGGCGCCGACTTCGCTCCGTGAGGACTTAGGGAGCCACAGAACAGTCTTTCCCTTTACGACCTTTAGGACATCCGTGGGCGCTGCGGGCCGGCGACCTCCCGCGGTCCCAGCACGCCCCGCCCCGGCCTCTGAGTCCGTCCCACCTGCAGCATGCCGCAGCTCCCTCAGCGCACCCGCCCGGGAGACACCCAGGAAGCCGGGCCGCGGGCTCACCTCCCCACCGTTGGCGTACTCCATCACGAAGCACAGGCGGTCGTGGGTCTGGAAGGCGTACTTCAGCGCCTGCGGGGAGGGGCGCCGGGTAGGAGGCGGCGGCAGGACCCTCGCCCGGGCGGGCACCAGGCAGGGGCCCGCAGCTCAGCCTGGCTGAGGGCGGTGAACGGGCTCGCGAGCTGAACCCTCGCGTCCTCGGCCTTCGCGGGCGCCCCCAGAGGCACTGCCCAGGCAGAGTGTGCCCTGCGGCAGCACCGCGGTCTTCACGCCCCTCCTCTTCTACAGTGGGGTGCATTAAAATCTATACGCGCGCACACGGGGTGCGGGCTGGGGGCTGGCAATGGCAGTGCCCACCCCAAGGAGAGCACAGACTAACGGTCCTCAAACTGCTCCCAGGAGCCCCAGGGCGTTCCTCAGCACTGCCGATGGCACCTCCTAAGGAGGCACGGAGCGTGCGCCACAGCTGAGTGCGGAGGTGACCCCAAGCCACCGCAGTGTGGTCCAGTTAACTAACAGCTGCTGGTCCTGATGGACATTACCGCCAGCCTAAATGAGTAGGTAGCAGCGACCTACCTGCTTCTAGACTTACTTATTTAAAAAAAAAAGTGACAATTCCCACGAAGACCAGCTGGGCTAGAAGCCTCTGAGGACACAGTCACGGCCTCCGGGGCCATCTCACAGCATGGCAGTGTGGTTGGCCCAAGTGCAACATGAACCCCGCCCCCCAGCGGTGTTGGGTCCGGCTCCTGGGAGCTCACCACCCCCTTGCCCTGGCCCCCTGGCCAAGGTCACCTCTGTGCCTCTTGTGACGGGGTCTGGGCTCTTGCCTGCGCTCTGCCCACAGGGGCTGGCCACTCACCGTGAGGAACGGGTGCCTGGTGTTCTGGAGCACGCGACTCTCGGTGACCGTGTGGGCAACTTCATCCTGCAGACAGAGGCCAAGTGATGGACTGCACCCCGCGCCTGGGCCCCTGCCGGGCAGGGCGACACCTCGGCGAAGCACAAGGCCTTTCCTAGCTGCCACGCAGCGGGCCGGGCAAGGGCAGTGTCACCATCACCAGCGCTCGTGACAAGGTCGAGAGAGGAGTCGGTGGCTCTCCAGACTGGCAGATGGAAAGGTGACGGAGCCTTTACAAAGGACCAGGCCCTCACCACCCCAATCCAGAGACCTATTTTAATATAGGTAAAGGGGACAGGCCTTATGAGATGTTACGAGACCCCCTGGGGCGACGCGGAGCCGTGAGAATCCCCACCCAGGGTGTTCTTGTCCGAAGGGGAACCGGCTCTGAGCAAGGCTCTCGCTCCGAGAGCAGCTCAGGTGTGGACCTGCACAGCGGGGACCTGCAGGGGTGCATCTGGCAGTGGTGTCACAGGCTCCCGGGGCCTATCGCAGGGCCAGGCTGGTGTCTGGGTGTGTGTAGTCACCCGGAGAGCTGCTGGAGTCCTGACCTGCCGCTGCACCGACACTGGCACCTCAGAGCAGGGGCCGGTCCCCAGGGACATCTGTCTGAAGACAATTCTCATTTCACAGCTTGAGGGGCAGGTGCCACTAGCTTGGCGGGTAGAGGCCAGGGACGCTGCTCAACTTGCCACAGTGCATAGCATGACCCCACAACAAAGGAAGACCAGGCCCAGAATGGCAACATGGCCGAGGGTGAGAAACCCCTGCCCTGCACGAAAGCCACAGGGACCGCCCATTCACCAGCTGTGACCGAGCGCCACCATGCTGCTCTCTGAAATCCGTATTGTCAGAGACGCTCACCTAAGTATGTACGGCTGAAATTATACGCTGTCTAGAATGTGCCTTAAAATACTCCAGGACCAAAAGGGAAGCAGGGAGAGGGTGGAGCTTTGAGACAAGACAGGCCTGATGTTGTCAACTGCGGAGACTGGGTGACGGCACCATGGGAGTCATGATAGTTTTCCTTTGAAAATTTTATATTGTGATTGGAATCTTCCATTTCAAAAACTTTAAATAAAGACAAGAAATAGAATTCCATTCTTGACCCAGCTTCCTACTGATGCACCCTGAGCCAAGCCCCCACAGGTCCTATATGATCAAGGGACCTACTTTCAACCCCGGCAGCCCCTGCTGGGTGAGGCCCAGGGCCGGAGGGTGGGCGCAGGCTGGGCCTCAGGCTCCCCTGCCTGACAGGAGCTCAGGGGTGGGTTGGGGGAACGCACCGTGGGCAGCAGCGGGAGGTAGGTGTTCAGGTCCCGTGAGGGCTCCTGCCCACGGTCAGGCTCAGGACCACAGACCCAGGGGCCGGCCAGCTGCAGGCCGGGGGCGCTCACCTTGGCAATGATAACCTCCTTCCGCAGGATCTTCATGGCATAGTAGCGGCCGGTGGCCTTCTCCCGCACCAGGATGACTTTGCCAAAGGTGCCCTTGCCCAGGAGTTTGAGATAGTCGAAGTCATTCATGGTCTGCCAGGGATGGGGAGAGTGGGGCAGTCGGCACCGGCTCGTGGCCCACAGGAGGAGGACAGTGCTGCCAGAGGGCTCAGGCATGAGCAGGGCGGGCGGCCCGGGCAGCGCTGTGAGCGGCACCCCTGGCGCCGACGCGGCCTTCAGACGCAGGCTCTGCTCAGCGCCCTGCGCCCTGCGGGACTGGGCCAGGAGCCCTGATGTGGGCTCCCAGGACAAGGCTGTCCTACCCGTGGACACTTTCAACCTGAGGTCGCCCATCTCACAAGGCAGTGGTGAAGCGGCAGGGCTGGGCACCCCATTCCCTGCACGAAACCTGGGTGCGGGACAGCATTGCGGGGAGAAGGGTGTGCAGGCCAGCGGGCCCCACCTCTAGGCCGCCTGCCCCTCAGCACTCACCACCTTGGTCCTCGCTTTGCTAACCGCCACTTCCATATCCTCGGCGGCGGAAGAGTCACTGGGGGAGCCACACTTGTAGTCCACGGGGCTATCGCCCGGGCCACGCTGCTTGAGGCTGTTGGCGACCATCTGGATGGCCCTCATCCACTCCTCCCTGTGGGACACGGGCCTGAGTCTGGGCCTGGGGGAAGGAGGGCAGAGCCCCGCACCTCCAATGCGCAAGCAATCACCAAACACCTCTGGGCACTTGGGGGAGACCTGTCTCATCTCAAGAGCCAAGGGGCTGGACGGACCCTCTGGCTGTGGCGGTGGTGCCGTAGGACAGAGACCACCTGAGACAGCAACCTGGCTTGAAACCAGAGTCAGGGAACAACAACCACAGAGAAGAGACCACCTTCTCCACAGCCCGTGAATACGAGCTGCCACCCTGAGCCTTGAGTACTCCTCTAACTGCCTCCGGAACAGCTCAAGTTTACACTAGTGACCGGCGTTTTGTAAGGGCTAACCAGGAACAGCAGGCGGCGGCAGCCAGAGGAGCTGGGGCCAGAGGCGTGAGCGCGCCCGTGGCCGCGGGAAAGCCACCACCTCCGCAGGCCCTGGCTGCCGCAGCAGGAGTCAGGACACCAGAGTCTGGACCTGCTGTCCTCGAGGCGCAAATACTTCCAGAGCATTACAGATGGGTTTCCACGCCTGGATTAAAATACGAGACCAAGAAACGCAGCGGTTGCTCCAGCCTTGGCAGCTGGACTCAGAGAGGGCTGCCACCACCACCTCTGGGGGCAGCAGGCAGCAAGCTCTTGGCTGGGCCGGCCATCAACAAGCACACCTGGGCCCCTCGGAGCAGCCTCGCTCCCGCGAGACCAGGCGCCAAGCAGAGTCTGGGGGCCCCAAACAGGGCGCCGCTTGTCGGTACATGATCAAGCCAGCATCTGGGGTACTCAGCAGGTATATGGGTAATGCATGGGGGAGGGAGCCACTATCTTCATGGGTCCACTGTACCCCAGATGGAGTAGGCAGCCCCCGCCCCTCCCCTCCCCGACCAAGGTCTCGGCCAGCATTACTCAACTTGCTTTGACCTGTGGCCTCTTTGGAACAAGTTACAGTAGAAATCCCTACCCCTGCATGAGCTGTCCTGGTTTTCAAAAACGAGAGTGCGGGCAAGTCCCACAATATACTTTTATCCAATCTTAACTGTCCTCTTAGGAAATTTTAAATCTGACCTCAGGTATAAAAAAAAAAAACAAACCATGGATTGAAAAAGAAACGTGCCGACTACACACACACAAGGGCCGACAGCAGGCGCATCTCCTACGCGGAAAGCCCAGGCGAGCGCAGGCAGAGACGTGCAGTCTGCTGTCATCTTTGCTTCCGAGGGAGGTGGGGACAAGGAGCCATCAACAGGGCAGCACCGCCCGAGCAAACAGCAACAGCGAGCAGTGCGTCCACACCCCAGAAGCAGCGGGGGGCGGAGCCGGGCCGGGGGTCCACTCTGGGCTGCGGAGCTGGGGCGGGGAGCTTAGCTGGAGTCCGACAGCAGGGGCTCGAGCAACAAGCCTGCCACCTCGGGGGGCCAGCACGCCCGCAGCCTGCTCCCCTCCCTCCGGGGCAGACTCCTGGCGCTGAGCTGGTGGCCCCACACAGAGGAGGCCCAATCTAGGAAGTGTTCACGGGCAGGGCCTGTGGAAGCCAGGGGACGCGAGAGTTTGGGTGGGGGACTAATGGCACGCACCGCTGCTCATCAAGCCCCCGGTCCTGTTCCAACTGGACCGAGGTCGCAGGGTTGCAGCACTCACCATTCCAGAGAAAAAGCAAGGGCCTCCGTCCAGGGTGCTCCTCAAGGGTTTGCAACATGGTGTCTGGGGCAGAGGGGAGCTCCCACCCAGAGCTGGGGCTGGCATGCCTTCCCTCTCTCAATGAAGAGCCCCCACAACCAACCTCCTTCCCCAAGAGACCTGCTAAGAAAAGCGGAGGCCCCACAGAGCCACCTGTTCCCCCCAGAGCACTGTGGCAGAGGCCCCTTCTGCAGAGGAGCGGGGCACACAGGCGTCACCTGCAGCGGGCCCACAGCCGGGCTGTCCTCCCAGGACAGTCCAGGAAAGTAAAGCATGGAGAATTGGGGCATGCTCAAGGAATGAGGTATTCTGTGCCCCAGGAAAGCCGTCCCGGGCGCTCAGACTCGGCCCACCTCTTCTAGAAGGCCAGCCTACTCCACGGCAGCACAAAGGCCCTAGGCCTAGAGAGCACACTGGCCCAGGCCCTTTCAAGTGCTTTCCCGAGGTCGCCCTGAGCCATCCCAGTCCGGGGAGGAGGTGCAGTCACTCAGCTCACACTTTACAGAAACAGACAGAGACCCAGGGAGGCCGACATGTGCCCACTTTCACCACCAGCAGGCAGGGAGGCCCAGGACCGGCCTTCCTACCATCCAAAGCCTATCTCCCGTCAGAGGTACTTTCAGGAACTTCCCACCCTTCACTTGGGGCCCGGGGCTAGGCGAGGCACTTTCGGGGGGCAGGCTGCAGGGAGGTCCTAAGTGACTCACTCCTTGGGCCTCTGTCTACCCGTACCCCACGGACACAGGACCATTGCGGGGGTGGAGGGCGGCAGATGGCCTGGCACTCGTGGACCCAAGCCGTGGCCCGGAGGCCGGGCCAAGCAGCCGTCTGACTTCCGTGTGCCTCAGGTGCCGCCATGTGGGGGCAAGTGGGTTGTGGGAGGGTGAAACGAGACACCAGAGGTAAAGTGCTGAGGGCAGAGGCTGGCATAGAGTGAGGCCTCAAAGGCTGGTGTGAGAATGCACCCGGCCGGCCAGCAAATATTTCCTGAGTGCTCTGTGCATGCCAGGCTCGTCCCAGGCGCTGAGGGGCAGCGGGAACAAGCCCCACTGGATCCCCTCGCCCAGCGGAGACAAGTGCGTGAATGCCCCAGGGCAGGGCCTAGAGACAGAAGCCCCTCCTCAGAGGCTGTCACAGAAGGCCCTCTGGGGTGGTAGCATGTAAGACATGACCTGAAAGATATTCCTGGAATGTGAGTGCCCCCCAGAGCTGGGAAGACTCTTGGCACATGACTGTGAAATACATGAAGCACAGGGGTGGGGCGGCCGCACCCAGTGCTGGGAGGGAAGGGACCGGGCAGACAGAAGCACTGTGAAGGCTGAAGGCCTCGGAGAGACGGGGCCGTCAGAAGGCACGCAGCAGGGCCGACAGGCAGGAGCTGGCGGAGGGTGAGGAGGTGAGGGGGGCAGGCCAGCCCACACTGGGCTCCAGGCGGCTACGGCAGGGATTTGCGTCTTAATCCTTCACATCACATCACGGGGAGTCACTGAAGTGTTTTACGCAAGGGGTGGCAGGATCTTATTTCCCAGTCAGCAGCTGCTGTGTGGGGGACCGCTGGGGACACTGGGGACAGGAGGAAGCAGGAGGCCTCGCAGCCCTTCAGGCAGGATGGAGCAGCAGCAAGGTGCCGAGAGCGACTGTGGAGTGGGCCTTGGGCCGGACCTTCACAGTTGCTTCCTCCTCACTCCAGGGACAGCAAGGGAACTGAGCCCCTCCAGAAAACGGCCTGGAGAGCCGCCTGACCCCTGAGCCTGGGCCCAGCCCTGGGCCACGCTGCTGAGCAAGACTAACAGAGCAGGAGGCAGAGCGGCCTGCTGTGCCTGCAGGGGACCAACAGTGGCTATCCTGGCAGCTGGGGGACTTCCTCCTATCCGGTCCCCCACCCCAAGGGGACTTACAGCCAGAGGCTATCTGTGGTCCCTCTCCTTACTTCTGTAACTTTCTATTAAACTGTCCATATTTAATAGGTGAGGATCTACCTCCCAGAAATGTCGTAAGGACAACATGAGTTCTTATGAGTGTGACCTTAGAGGAGTGTCTGGCTCAACAGAGAATTAGAAATAGTTTCCATTATTGTCCTATTTGTTCAGCAAACACTTACTGAACACCTATGTATGTTCCCAGCACAAATAAAATCAAAAATGTCATGCTCAGTAACAGTTACAGGGAAGAAAGAGAACACAGGGTCAGAGTAACAGAAATACAGGGCTAGCACTGGTTAGGGTGCCACAAGGAGATGGCAGAGGTGAGGTTAGCCCTGCCCTCTGAGAGCGTTGGCATCTGGACAAAGGCCACTCGGAGTTAAGGCAGGAACCATATGACAGCTGAACAAAGGGGCTCTAAGCCAAGGAAACAGCAAGTGCAAAGGTCCTGAGGCAGGAAGTATGCCGGACACGCTGAAGATCACTGGGGCTCAAGTGGGAAGCGATTCTGCCAGGGAGGCCAGAGCACGCAGGACTCTGCGGGACACGACTCAGGGTTTGGGGCTCACTCCAAGTGGGGCTGAAAGTCACTCCGCGTTCTAAACAGAGAAGTTACGTAAGACTGACGTTAAATAGAGCGCACTAACATGATGGACTTTTAACCGTATCTGCCAAGACCGGCGGTCTGCAAACCCCCCCCTGAAAAGGGCAGAGAAAGTGTTCGAGCCTTTGCAGACCGCATGGCTCAGTGGGCAAAGGCAGCCAGCGGCAATGGGTAAGCAAATGGGCGTGGTCACGTTCCCAGGAAACTTTACACACAAGAACAGGAAGCTGGTGGTAGTTTGCTGGAGCTTAATTTCCAGCTTACCCGAAATAAAGGCACAGAGGAAAAAGATAAACAGCACAAAAGGTAATGTGTGGCACCCCCCGGGGCGCGGGACATTCTCCAAGACAACTAGCCTGGCCCATCAGGGAAAAGCCATACCTAAGGGACAAGTAGACACGGGCCAATCGCGTTACCACAGCCCAGAGGCAGTGTGCCTGCGTGAGCCCGGCCTGGGAAGCAGCACTAAGAGAGAAGAGGTGAAACTCCAGCAGCGGCTGGATGCGGAGCAGGTGCCAGCAGAGCCCTGTGAGAAGCGGCCATCTCAGGTGTGTGGACGACACCTCAATCCACAGGGAAACACCCTCTTAGGTTCCCAGTGAGCTTTAATGACGAGAGTGCACAAGTAGAACAGGAGTTCACACGTCAGCATAAAATACAGCCAGGTGAGGAGGACGCATGAGCCGGCACAGCAAGGGGCCGGGACCCCAGTGCACACGCAGAGTATTCGTTCACCTTCTCTGATGTTTGAAACAAGCGGCAGGGGCTGGGCAAGTCCCTGGAGCTGCCCCAGGAGCAGGGAGGAAGGCGCCAGGGCCAGGCCCCTGCAGCATCTAGGCAGCACCCTTCGCCAGTGCCACCAGGCTGCCCTCCACGCCCTCCCGACCTCTCCTGGGCTCAGGCCATTGCAGGATAGCCATGAGCAGACCGGCCTCCCTTTTGTGGAGTTTCTGGGTTCCCAGCTCCCCAGAGAGAGGTCAGGACCTGGGCTCTGGTCTCAGAGCAGACTCCTCCAGTGGCAGGTGCTGAGGAGAGGAGGCAGGTAGGGTTTTCCAGCCCCCCAGCCCTAGCAAAGGGATTTCCCCCCGTGAAGGACAAGGAGTCTCACTAACTGGAAGCCACAGTGGCGCCGCCCAGCCCCCACCGCTCCACTGCCAGGCCTCTAGGGCCGCCTCTCCATTGCTCCCCTGAGGCCCCGCAACAGTGCCCGCTGACCCCAGAGGCTCCCCATCAGGAGTCCAGCCCGGGCCGGTCTGCTCCGTCGTGCCCGCGCTCCCCTCCTCCACGACCCCTGGTCCTTGACTCTGGTGACACAGACCCGAGATGACAACCTGTTCGCCTCAGGGCCTTGGTCTGTACAGGGCCCTTTTTCTGGCGCCGCCTCCTCCTGTCTCCCTGCCCAATTCCTCATTTTTCAAAACTCAGTCCGGCCCCAGGTCCTGTACACACCTACGGTCTCCAGGGGTTTTTGCCGACACCCGTCCTTCGGCCCCCGGTTGCCCTCTCACCGCTGGAGGGGTGCTATGCCCCTGCGCGGGGCGCGCACACGTTCGCCCTGGGAAGGCCTGGTTGGGCACTACCGCTCAGACTGCCACCAGCCCCGGGACCGTGTGTGCGCGCTCTGGGGGGTGCAGCGGGAGGCGCCCCGCACGTGACATCTGGGAAACACGCCACCATTTAGAACGTCCAGCCTTCGGCGGCACAACCACCTTTCAAATGTTCAAGAGGCGTGTGATGACCACCCTCCTGGGCACTGGCGCCAGAGGATGCTTCTGGACGGCAGGGTTCTCTCGGAAGGCACCGCTCTAGGGGTCTCCAGAGAGTAGGCTGACAACGGACAAGCACTGAAATGCTTCTCAAGGTGAGGCGTGAAGGGGAAAAGAGTTTTGTCACTCACTGCTAGAGCCTAATACACAAAACTTCTAGAGACAAGAAAAAGATCAATGACCCAATTAAAACAGACAAAGGATACGGACAGGCCGTTCAGAAAGGGAAACCACGCGGTGCCTGGCGTGGGGAACGTGCCCCAGCCCACAAGAGCACAGTGCCCGTCGAAACTGCCCCGAGGAGCCGTTTCCCACTCAGCCGAAAGGCGAATCCAAACATCTGAAAACACAAGGCTGCTGGGTGCTCTGAGACACCCCAAATCTCCAACACGTATTTCCTGCGACCCAGCGAACTCGCTGCGCACACTGGCCTGTGTGGTGTCAGCGGGACCAGCCCGCGGGCCTGGCTGCCTGTGCGAAGTCCGAGGCGGGAAACAAGCCGTCCCCTCACCAAGCTGCTAAGGGAGCCGGGGCCAGAGTGCTGCAGCTGTTTAAAATCCCTCTTGCCAGCAGCCGCTTCTACACATTAAAGCAGAACTCCCCAAGACGCCTGAAGAAAAAAGGCAGGTTCTGAACAGTCTGTACCATGCTCCCTTTTGTGTAAGAAAGAAAAAAGGAGGAGTAGAACGCGCTCCTGAACCACCACGGCCATGGGAGATCAGCGCCCGAGGACACAAGAACGGCGCCCACTGGGGCTAGGGGAGGGGCAGGGAGGGCGGCCCCCCGGATTCATTGCCTCCACACAGGATTTCCGCCCCGTCAGTCTGTACCAGCCTCTCATTAGCAATAGGTCTTCATTGTGAACTGAATCTCTGGGCCACCTGCCTCCAAGTCAGTGGAGATGCTTATTAAAAACGCATCTCCTGAGCCCTCCATGCGTCTCCTCAGGCCCACAGGCCTGAGGCCAGGTCCGGAGCGCTGTGTAGTTAACATGCTTCACCCCACTCCAGCATGACCTCCAGTCTCAGACAGAGTGGGACCCACAGACTAAAAATGCTTCCCAATCCCAGCTCCCAGAGGGCTGGGACAGGAAATTCCAAAATGTGGGCCCAATCTTTCCATCTGCACCCCTTCTCACGCTGGGCCTGACCACTCTCAAAGGGCAGCCACACAGAGGCCCAACTCACCTCTCATCAGGAGAGTCTACGTGGAAAGTCCTCTCAATGACCGTGGTCCACTGCAGGCAGCGTATGACAAAGGTATTGGGCCGCGGCCTCTCCGTCTTCATCAGCTGGCACTCTGCAGGCAGAGGGAGGAAGGAGTCAGAGGGTGAGGGGACAGCCTGTCGGCCACTGCTCACTTCCCCCAAGTCACCTCCTATTGCCAGCCCTGTGACAGGCGGCTTTAGGCAACCTGAGTGACTGGCACAGCCCTGGCCTTGTGACCCCGCAGGGCTCAAAGTCCAGTGCCTGTGTGGAAGGGGGGCCTACTAGCTAGTGAAGGCTCCCTCGGGACTGTGATGGGGGAAGCTCTAAGGAGGTGACTAACCTAGCCTTGGGGGTGAGGGGTGGGGAGACGGCAGGGAGTGCTCCCCAGTGGGAGGAGCATCTCTTCACTGAGGCCTGCCTGAAGGGGGAAGAGGGTGTGGACAGTCAGGAGACACCTGTAGAAAAGCCCAGAGGTGGGGAGCCCACAGCCTTGGGGGATGGCAAGTGCTCTACTCCCTTTGCCACACAGAGGGGAGAAGTGAGACAGGCTGGAGCCAGGTCAGGATGAGGCATCTGGACTCAGCCTGGGGGTGGTGGGAGCCATAGCAGGCTTTAGGCAGGGCAGGCACTGAACATATTTAGACAGACCCCTCTGGCTGCCATGCAGGGGGTGAAAGATAGTCTGGGTGTGATTGGTACCAGGGGCTAAGAGGATACCCTCTAGAGGAAACGGAGGAAGCTTCAGGGAAGGTTCAGCGTTCAGGTGAGAAGCGAGGCCTGGGAAGAGCATTGTCGGGGTCACCAGTACATAAGGGAGGCAACGAGGACAAAGTCACAGTCCTGGCCAGGCCAGGCACCTAGGACCTAGCAGTGGTTCTTCTGGCACCTGAAAGTGGCCCCCGACCCCGAGACGCACCTGCGACAGAGAAGTTGTTGAGGGGGGGTAAGGTCTGATCGGGGGCCTCGGGCCGCTCCTTGTAGCCGATGAAGGAGCCGTCACTTTTCAGCAGGAAGTACCGAGGTCTCCAGGTCTTGATGTATTCACCTGCGCGGAGCAGAGGAGAAAGCTCAGGGCAAGGGCTAGCCTAGCCCAGTAACAGAGCCCCACGGGAAGCTCAGCAGGAGGATGGACGGGGGAGAGGGCAGGAGCGCGCCTCTCGCAGAGCCCTTGGGGCGGCCCCCGCTGCTGCAGGCTGGGCACTGGGCTGGGCCGACTGATCCAGAGGTCATGCCTGACAGGAAGGCGCCTGCCACAGGGCCCAGGCTGCCTCAGCATGTGGCCAGCAGCCGCGAGCCATCCCTGCCGGCACATGGCCAGCCCCAGGGGAGGCCCAGGCTTCCAGATACACATGCCTGAGGCCCTGTGAGGCCAAATCCCACGGGCTGGTCTTCACCAGCGCAGCTGTGCAGGTGGATTAGCTGTCAAAACACTGCCAGGTGGGCTGTGACTGCTGCGGGGCCTCCGAGGGCCCCTTGACTCCTTCCATTTGTTCTGAACAGGAGCACCCAAGCACCCTGAGTGTACACACATGGAACTGCTCATTAGGTTGCTGCCAAGGATGAAAACAGGATGGTGAAACTTATATGCACCCCAAAACTTGTACAGAAATGTCTCAGCTAGACTATTCTAAATAGTAAGTAGATACAACACAAAAACCTACTACAAATGGATAAACAGAATGTGACCCATTCTCACAATGCAATACAGCAGCCAAAAAAAGAAAGGCCAGTGCTGGACCCAGGGGCCACAGGCAAGAGCTCGTCACAAAGGCCACCACTGTGTGACCCCACTTATGGGAAGGGCCCAGACAGGCAAACTTAGAGGTAAGTGGTTGCTGAGGGCGGGAGGGGGAGCGCCCGGAGTGCTGGTCGCGCGCAGTACGTGCCTGAAGCCGAGCATGGTGACGCCCGTTTCTGCACACTAAAGGCCAAAGGAACTTTACAGGGCCGAGCTGTGCGGCGTGCCGGATCTCAAGCTGCTAACCACGCTGCCATCACATGGCACACGGAAAGCACCGCAGAGGGCCCAGCAGGCCACGGCGCGTCACAAAGGCTCTGCACTGCAGCCCACTGCGCAAGCAGGGGCACCCACCGGGCCCTCGGCTCGCCCGGAAGCCAGGGAGGCAGAAGGCAGGGCAGTGCCCTGAGCAGTATTCGCTAAGTGGCTGCCAGCTGCTTCACTTCTGGGTCTTCGCCGCCTTGGGGATGTCCACTAGCTGCTGAAATGCGGGTGGTTCTCTGTGCCAGCTCATAGGTTTAACTTATTAAATTCCTTCAAATGTATGCACTAAGTGATTCTATGTACTGCAAGTTCAGAAACCAACAAAACCCCAGAGTCATGAACAAACTGTAAGGATTATATACAACGACTAAGTGGTTTTATCCCAGAAATATGAGCATGAGCAACATATGAAGATCAGTCAAGATGATATGCTATGTTAATAGAAGAAAAAAAAAAATCCCATGATCATCTTGATGCAATTTTAAAAAAACAGGGGGCTTCCTGGTGACCTAGGGGTTAAGTGTCAGAGCCATTAGCACTGCATCAGTTCCATCCCCAGCCAGGGGGCTGACCCGCAGGGCAGGGCGCGGGCGCGGCAGACCTCTCCCCTTTCTCTCCGCTGCTCCCCTCAGCAGTGTCTTTCAGTCGCTCCACCTGTTCTGCTTCCCACTCTGTCTCTGGAGAATCCTCTCACCCCCCACACTTCTGGCCTACTCCCAGCTCTCCTATGCATAATTAAATCTTTTTTTAAAAAATTAGACAAAACCCAACACCCTTTCATGACAAAAATATTCAACAAGCTAGAATAGAAGGCAATTTTCTCCACATGATAAAGGGTATCTGTGGAAAACCCACAGCTAACATATTCAAAACACCGAACACCCCCCCAAGGCCACAAATAAGACTTGTGCTTTCACCACTGCTATTACAACTGGAACCTCTAGCCAGAGAGGGAGAGATAAAAGACACCCTACTTGCAAAGGCATGTAAGTATACCAGTCTTTACTCCAACAGCATGGTCCTTTATATATAGGAAATCACAAAGAATCCACAAAATAATTGTTAAAACGAACAAATTTAGTGAGTTCAACATACAAAAGAGATCAACACATGTCAGTCATTTGGCTCTGAATACACCAGCAATGAACAATCCAAAGAGAAAACCGAGAAAACACTTCCCTTTACAGCAGCATGAGGAAATGGGAGATTTATACACTAGAAACTCCAACACATTACTGAAAGACCTAAATAAATGTATTCCACACTTGTGGATTACAAAACTGAATTATTGTTAAGATGGAAACACTACCCAAAACAATTTAGATTTAACACACTCCCATCAAAGCCCCAATGGTCTTTATCGGAGACCCAATATGGCAAGGGACTCCAAACAGCCAAAGCAATACTGAAAAAGAACAAAATGAAAAGACTCATCATACTCTTATTTTCAAATCGTACTACAAAGTTAGAGGAGTCAAATCAATATAGTACAAGGGCAGACATACAGACTGAGAATCAGTCAAAAAAATCAACCCGACATCATCAATTGATTTTCAACCAGAATGACCTAGATCCCTCAATGGGAAAAGAACTGGTCTCTTCACCACATGATGCTAGGACTAGAGGTTCACGTGACACAAGAGAACCAGACTCCTGCCTCACACCACATAAAAACAACTCAAAATGGTTCTACTGAACTATAATAGATAAAATTCTTAAAAGAAAACACAAGGGTAAATCTTCACAACCTTGGATTTGGCAAGAGATTCTTAGCTGTTTACCAAAAATAAAAACACAACACAAAATAAAGCAGACTCACCAAAATTAAAACCTTTACTGAGAACATTGTCAAAGAAGCACAGTCTAGAGGACAGATGAAAATATTTGCAAATCAGGTCTCTAAAAAGCCAATTTTAAAAATGGGAAAAGAACTTGAATAAACATTTCTCTGAAGATGTACCAATGGTCAATAAGCCCATGAAAAGGTGCTCAGTACTGTCACTAGGAAAATGCACATCGACCACAATGGGACATCACCTGACACCCACTGGGATGGCTGGAATGAAAGAGAGAGACTGAGTCAGTACTGGTGAGGACATGGTGAAACGGAAACCCTTGTGCCTGCTGGTATGAATATAAAATGGAGAAAGCCACCACAGAAAAGCCTGGCACTTCCTTGAAAAGGTCAGTGCTGCTACACGAATGTTCCTGGCAGCATCCTTCACTACGGCCCAGAGGTCGAAGTAACTGAAATGTCCATCAACAGGTGAGCCCGCAAAGAGCGCGCAGGAGGGCCATATGATGGGGTACTGGGTGGCCATGGCGAGGAATGAAGCACTAATACATGCTACAGCAAACACATCTCAAGAACATGATGCTAAGTGCAATAGGCAGACACAAAGGCCGTGCACTGTGTGATTCATTCCTATGAAATGTCCAGAATGAGCACATCCATACAGACAGAAGAAAAATTGGTTGTTGCCAGGGTCTGGGCAGAGGGAGGAATGGGCACTGACGGCCTAATGAGAATGGGGTTTTCTTTCAGGATGATGAAAATGATCTGGAACTAGACAAAGGTAGCTGTTACACAGTGCTGAGGGTTCTAAAGGCTGCTGAACTGTACACCTTAAAATGGTTAGTTTTGTGTTGGCTAATTTCACCTCAATTGTAGAAAGAAAAACAAAGCCTGCCACTCCAACTCCCCATCCAACTCCAGTTTGGACAGTGGATGGCTGGAATGAAAGAGTGGCAAGAGGGGCTATCTCATGCTGTATTTTGGTCTGGGAACTGGTGTGAACTGAGTGTGTGGTCCAGATACTTACCTGTGGTGTTTCATACATCGGTAACAAGCTAAGAAAACTTTTAAAAGAACCCCAGAAAGAAAGGACAAATATCCTTACCAACAGCCCCATTTTACAGATGAGGAGACATAGAAAGTTCCATGGCTTGCTATTAACTGGGGAGCTAGGGCTGGGAGCTGGGGGTGCGGTGTCCAGCGTCCGTGGCCCTGGCCACCAGCTGTGTGCGTCTGACGTGGCAGCCAGGGGCCTGGTGGCGCTGCCTACACCTGGAGCAGACCTCGCCCAGGCAGAGGCAGCCAGCAGGCCAGGCCTCAGGAGCAGAGGCCCAGGGCGAGAGCCAGCCCTCAGACTGCCGCCACCTCACGGAAACCTCGGACAGATGGGCTTCCCTCCTGGCCTGTGCGGTGCCCACCTCACGGAGCCGCTATGGAAGTCAAACACAAGTGGCTTTGTCCATGGCAGAGCCAGGCCTAGGACAGAGAGGATGCTCAGGAAACTGGGGCCGCTGCCATCCTGAACACCAGCAGTGGCTGGGGCGGGGCAGGGCAGGAAACTGAGGCAGTCACAGCCAGCCAGGCCTGCCTTGCCTTTCCATCCGGGCCAGTCACTGCGCAGGATATCAGGGCCCACGAGGGCTGGAAGTGACACATACGTACCTATGGTGCAAGTCCCTGGCAGGTGTGACCCAGCTAGGCCATGCCAGCAGCTCATCTGGCCTGGGGACACTAATGGAGACAGTGGTGACCTAAGAGAAGCTGAGACCTAATTAATGCCATCAGCAGTCCCAAACCAGGGCCAGAGTCCTACCCACAAGAGTTTTCCAGGCCCTAACACTCACAGCATGCACACAAGCAATCCCAATCATTTCTTCAAGAATCAGTTTCTAGGGCCTCCCTAGAAAGGTGCAAGGGGTTACATCTCAGCACTATGAAGCGGTCCACAGCCACTGTGGCATGAGTTCGATCCCCACCCCGGAGCTGACACACAGGGCTCAGCAGATCTCTCCTGTCTCCCCGCTGCTCCCCTCAGCAGTGTACTTCGTCTATCTACCTGTTCTGCTCCCCACTTGGTCTCTGGTAAATCTTCTCACCCCACATCTCTGGCCTGTACCCCAGTTCTTGTATGCATAAATAAATAAATCTTAAAAAATCAGTCATGGAGCCCCTACTGCGTGCCATCATTTTCTAAGTACTGGGATGACTTCAGTGGACAGCCAGATCAATGCCCCCTCCCCAGGGGCTGGCAATGTCAGAGAGTTAAGCTGCTAACCCATTGGACAGATGTGAAGACAAGTCTCAGAGGTGGCAGAGCTTGTCCAAAGTCACACCAAGAGCAAGTGGCAGTGCCAGGTTTACACATCTGGCAAGGTCCATAAAGTTCCACCAATAGCCCCGAACTCTAAGCCCCGTGTGAGCGTCTGCAAAGCCATCCCTGTCTGGAAGGGATGGAAACGTTCTCTCCTGCTCGGTCTAATGGGGGCGGCCTGGCCCTGGGGAGCTACTTCTGTCCCCCTCCCCTCTCTGCATGGGCAGGCTAGGACAGGGCAGGGTGCGGGGCTTCCCTGGCCCCTCACACACCCTCCAGCCTTCATGGCAACCTCCGTCCCATCTTTATTCCTTTCCCGGGGAGTTGGGGGGGGGCCTCCTGGCCCAGCCTGTTAATGAGAACGCTCCTGCCCCTCACCTCTCCCTCTCCAGGTACGCGAGCTTTACCCAGGGACTTACCCACCCAAGACGCTTGCCCACCTAGGGGATGCTGCGCTTCCCTCCAAATGCAAGGTACCAACTGTCACCATCAAGCACACTACCAGGTCCTCAGGGCCGAGGACGGCACCTGGGCACAGCTGCTCAGTCCGTGTGTGCTGGGCAAATGGCCATGAGCAGGGAGCAGCTCCCACAGGCCTGGCACCTCCCTCCCTCAGCAAGGTCACAGACGCCAGGATGATCTCCCTCTTCATCCTTAGCGCTGGACACACTATGCACAACGGCTACGTCCCAGCCACCCCCAGCACAGGGCAGCAAAGCTGTCTGGGGACAGACAGCCAAGGGCCTGCGCGTCCAGCGTCCTAATCCCTTCTCTGTGAGTGACTTCATTTCCTGGGGTCCCGGCTCCCCACCTGTACACGCCACCAGGTCATGCCCTGGCTCACAACAGTCTGGGCTTCCAAGCGCCGGAGTTAAAGCCCAGGCCCTTCCTGTGGCCTGCAGGACCCGCACGGGCTGACGTCACCTCTGCCCCCCTCTCCCCGGCCCTCACTCATCCGCTCCAGCCCCATGTGCGCACATCCCCGTGGCCTCGCCGGCAGCCTATTCTGGGGGACACCTTGCCCAGCTGCGTGTGCAGCCCAGGCCCGCACCACCTTAGAACCGCTTTCCTGACCATGCCATCCCTCCTGGGCCTCTATTGCTCCAGAGTTCCTCCTTTCCACAGTGGCAGATATACCTAATGTCAGTCTGTGGACCTCAGCCCCCGTGGGAGCGGAGACCCCACGAGGGTGCCTGCGTCCTCAACCTGGGATGGCCCAGCGCACCATACATGCCCGGGGAGTTCTTTCTGAAAGAATGAATGCAGAATATGGCCCCTCTGAGCCCCAGTTTCTCCACGCAGACGCGACGGAGCACTAACGCACAATGCAGAGCCAAGGCCGGCCCGCGTCCAGCCCAGTTTGGAGAGGCTGGGCCCCAGGCAGACGCAGAAGTGTGGATCCACAAACTGTCACTAAAGGCACCCTGAAATGAGACTGGAAGGAGCGACTGGCCTGGGTAGGCAGGTGCAGCTGGGAGTTCAACCCCCAGACTGCAGAGACCCTGCCCCCTGCCCCCAGGGCCCAGCAGCCAGGAGGGAGCCCAGTGGAGGGGTGACACGCAGTCCAGCGGGTGGCAGAAGTGTCTCTTACCGCGCTTGTGGAGCCAGCCTTCCTTGATGACAGACACTTCGTTCATGGTGGCAGCGTGACACACTGTCACCTAGTTCTGGACAGCTCAGGGCAGCCGGACATGCAGGAAGCGCAGTGGACAGAGCACAGCCTGCAAGACAAGAGTAGGCTGGTCAGGGTGGGAGGGCTCAGCCCCAGGCGCCAAGCCTCTCCGGCTGCGCTGCTCTTCTGCAGAGTGCGGTGCCCACCAGGGTGGGGGACACTGCCCTCAGATCCACTGCGGTCCCCAAGACCCCCATCGGGAGGGACAGGCACCCTGAGCGCCCTACTCCGGGGGAGCAGAGCTCCCTGGCCTTTTAGGATACCGCTGCTGAAGAGACGCCCCTCTACCCCCTGCAGTCCCAACAGGGCTGGGAGCACGGGGCTGTGGCTCCGCCCCACGTCACTCCCAACCCCACCACTGAGATAAGCTGGGGAAATCAGACAGCCCTGCGCACCTGACGCGCTCAAAGACACCAGCAGCCGCCTGCCGCCCAACACACACGCACGCTCTCTGGCCAACGCGGGGGCTCTGACCTGGTGCAAACTAGGTGCCCTCACTGCCCTGGGCTAGCCACTCCATGTCGCTGGCTCCTCCACTCCCTCCTTGCCCCCACTAGGTGACAGAGCAAAGAGGGGCCTCAGACACCCAAGCTGTGAACAGGAGGCAGCCTACTGTGTATGCGCTTGCCTACGTCCTCGTAGTCAGTCGTGGGGGCTCTACCAAGGCCCTGGTCCCTCCCCAAGATCTCCGTTTCCATCCCTGGGGACCAGCAGTTGACAGACTGACAGACGCCGAGGCCACTGCTCCGGATCGGGTTCCCAGCCAGAGGGGAAAAGGACAGGAGGCGGTCGCCAGCTGGGCCCTACCTGGAGCCACGGGGCTGGGCAGGGCCATGGAGCCCAAGGCCTTATGCCTTTCCTGGTCTGGGGTTATTTGCGGACAGCAGGTCAGGAGCTACGGTGGCCCCCAGCGAAGTGGCAGCTGGCTCTAGGGACACTGTGGGCATCAGCTTTCTCTCGTGCCCCAGGGGAGCTGGTAGGCCGGACACACTACTGCCTGGCATGTGACAGTGGCAGGTTGCCCAGGCCGGGCAGAGGGAAGGGAGGTAAGTGGGAGGAAGTGGGAGGAAAGACAAGATGGACAGTGGTGGGGAAGTAACAGCAAGTGAGAAATCACGTTCTGGACTCCCGAGCTGGAGAGGCAGATTCAGGGTCAGCAATCGGGGTTCCCTCCCCAGTAGGCATGACCCCCAAGGGCTCACGCCCAGGACCACGACCTTCTACCCTTCTACCCACAAACCTCACCAGTCTTATGCCATCTCACGTGGCTGCCACTCCTCCAGCTTCCTTATGGTGTGGTTCTGGCCCAACACAGTCCTCTCCCACACGGGTCCTGTCCCACCTCCTCCCAGGACTCCGTCTCTCCAAGCTGCCCCCATTCAGCAGCTAACGGGAACCCAAGAGCAGGCCCGTGGCTCCCCACTGCCATCGGGGAAAACACAAGCTCCTCAATTTGAGATTCAAGGTCTGCAGGACCTGACCTCTCCCGACCTTCACTCTCACACCTCCGGCCCTCCCCCCAGCCCTGCGCCTGGCTTCTGGAAGGCCTCTCCCACAGCCCCGTCCCTCCCACCTGACCTTCTCCCTCGGCTCCCTGCCCCTGCTCTCAAGCCCTCGGGCCACTAAGTCCAACCTGGGCATCCCTGTTCAAAATCTTCCATGGGCCCCCATGCGCTCAGCATACAGCTCAGCATTCCTCCCACCCCCAAAGAGGCCCCGCATGAGCGGAGAGGCAGAGGAAAGAAAAACTCCACCAAGAGCTAAACGCCGCGGCCAAGATTAGGCCTGGTGCTGCTACTTCTCCAGCTCCTCCTCCCACCCCACTCTGCCAGGTTTCTGGCCGTAGGTCCTTCCCTCCGACCTTCACCCCTGTACTTCTCCTCTTAAGGTCTCGCCTAGACACCCTCCTCCAGGAAGCCCTCCTGGCCTCAGAGGCTGCACTGGGGTGCTCCTCCCACAGCTACAAATGCCAACTCAGTGGAGCAAGCACAGCATACGCGTGTCTGCTGAAGTCTCCCCAACAGAGCCCCAGACAGGACCAGACACAGCACAGGCTTCTCCAGAGAACGTCAGTCTCTGAGTGGGTCCTAGGCAGAGCAGAGTCTGCACTGTCCTGGGTGCCAGAGGCCAAGCACGTCTGAGGCCAGCTCCTTGCCTCACGAGGGTCCCACTCCGGTGGGGAGGGCAGGCAAGGCAGAGACACTCGGGTGCCGGGGGGGCGGGGTGCAGAGAAGAGAAAGCAGCAAGGCTGGGGGAGGCCAGCAGGCAACAGGGTGCCGTGTTAGCCGCGCGGTGTCAGAGATGTGCGAGCAGAGCGTGAGCGTGAGGCGCTGGAGGAGGCTCTCAGGCAGGGGAACAGCCCTGCAGAACCCCGAAGCGGAGGGAGCCAGCGAGGCTCCAGGGTTAGGGCCAGGGAAGAAGCGGGCAGTGGAGCACAGGTCTGGTGGGCTATGATGGGGAGGGAATTCTCTGACAGGGGGCCAGTGCGCATTTTTGCTGGGGCCAGCTCAGGTCACGACAGTTCCGAGCTAGACGCAAAACTCATAGAGTCCAAAGGAGGGAGCGCCGCGGAAGGGAAGGACCGGGGCCAGGGGCCAGGGGCTAGGCAGGGGCCAGGGGCTAGGGGCTAGGCGGGCCCGCCCACCCTCCCTCCCCTCCCAGCCCAGCAGCTTCACCTCTCAGAGCCTCCTGCTCCTGCAGCACAGGCTGGCAGCAGCATTCAAGCGCCCACTGTGTGCACAGGGCTCGGCTCTGGCGCGGCCGCCAGGAAGCGCGAACACGTGGCCAGACAGAGGGAAGCGGAGGCAGCAGGTGTGATGGGGAGGCCGGAGCAGCAGGTCCGAGAGTGACCGCCACCTGGGCGGTCTGAGCAGGGCCAGCGCCTCGGTCGCCCCTGAGGACCACGCGGGGGCGGAGCGGCTCAGGAGGGGAAGCCCTTTACCTGGGGTGTCCTGAGGAGTGGCAGAGGCCCGGGCTGCTGCTCAGCACACCAGAGTCACTTTTGACATTCTCATTTCAGCGACTAAGCAGAAGCAGCCAGCAGCAGCTTGGGCAAGGGCAGGGGGAGGACCTGGAAGATCCCCTGCGTCCGCCTGGAGCCTGCCCGTCCTCCCACTGAGGGTGGCGCCTCAGCCGAGGTGTTTGTGACGCAGTCCCACGGTGATGAAACTCCAGGCGCGCCGCCAAGAGGATGGCCTGTTGGTTGGGAGCTGCCGATGGAGGACGCCCAGGCGGAGGACAAAGACCTACCCCTGGAAGCCAAGTGTCAGCACGCAGGGGCCTGCCCTGGCTGCCTGCTTGCAGGCAGGACACCCCGGGTAGGGAATGCCTGGGGAGGGGGCATCCTTGTTTGTTGCTTCCTCGGGTGACCAGGCCTGTGTCCCGTGAGGGCCCAGGTGGGAGCGGCAGCTACTGGCTAGAACTGAGCCATCTGGGAGGCGAGGCGAAAAGAGCAAGGCCTCCTCGGAGGAGACACCCACGCACCCAAGGAACACAGGCGAGCTCATCAGCTACAGGGCGCTGCAAGCTAAAGCCACCTGCCGGGACAGCTACCGTTTTAAAAAGGGCCAATGCCAAGGGCTGACAGGCTATAAAGGAATATAAAACAGCGCAACTATTTAGGCAAAAGATTTGGCAATGAGAACTGAAACTCAATCAGACCTACCCCAGGACCCAGCAATGCTGTAACTCCAACAGAAAGACACACACTTATTTACAAAAAAAAAACAAAACCAGGAACTAGAACGTTCCCAGACCTGAAAACAGACCAGGTGTCCACCCACAGGGGAATGGACAAGCGACAGGGCAGGAGCCTACTCAGCGGTAGGGTCAGCGCGCAGGGAAGGGCGAGGGCGCGGCAGACACAGTAACACAGTCTGCGCCCCAGCAACTCAGAGCAGGCCACAAGCCGCTATTTGTTTAGGGGTGTCTTTCTCGCTTGCAAACTGTGCAGAAAGGCAAAGAAACCAACATCCAAAGTCAGGAGAGTGGCTACGGGTGGGAGGGGTTTCCTGGGCGCTGCCCAGGTTCCCCTGAATGGACTCAGGCTTCGCTTTACAGGTGTTTGCTACACTGTACTGGGTAAATGGAGCTGGGCTGTTTCTGTATTCTACATCAAAAGAAGCGACTGTAGAGAAGAATCTGGGTTTGGGAGTCCAGAGGATACCGGGGAGCTAAAATTTGGCTTCCTGGCCCCCAGGATACCCCCCTCCCAAGGCAGGCCTGCCTCGATTCTCCCTGCAAGAAGGTCGGGTCATCAAGGAGGAACCTGGGGTCTAGAGACACATCTCTACCCACGGCTCTGCTGGTTTTTGGCCAAGTGGTCATGGGCAAGGGAAACCCTGTGGGTACCCACCTGTACAAGAGCCGCACTGGGGGCTCCCCTATTGGCACAGCCCAAGAGGAAGTGGCAGCAAATTTCCAGCCCTGTAGCCTAGGCTTATATTGGATTCCAACAGTAGTGGTCAATCTGATGATGGAGAGAAGGCCCATGCGGCACTGATCACATGCCTGGCACACCTAAGCACTTGGACATGTGAAGTCAGCCTTCACAGCAACCCCACGAGGTTTCCGTTTTAATGGAGAAACTGAGGCACAGAGGCAAGGACTTGCCCCTATCGCCCGGTCAGAAGCAGGAGGCCAGGCTGGGGCCCCGGGCGGCCTGACTTCACCACCACACAGCACCTGGGCCTAAGGCAGAGCTGGGGTCTGGTCCCTGCTCCCCAACTTTACAGCCTCCCCAAACCCCCAGTCTCGCCATCTGTCATGGGATGACAGCGATGAGTCCATCGCAGGCTCAAGCACGCAAGAGCCCAACACAACACGCCGCCCACGGGACGGCCACCCGACAGGACACGGCAGGGCCCTCCCGCCCGGGACAACGGCCCGGGGCGCTGGCCACGGCACTCAGTGTGCTCCCCGCACGAGGACGGCTGAACTGAGTGCTTTTCTGGAACACGCACCACATCGCCGCGGTGCTAGCATGCTGACACTTTCACGTGCTAACACTACTGAGACCATCCTGCCTTCCTCTCAGGCAAGCAGTCACCT